CCGCAGAGGAAACCAGACACAACTATGAAGTCTTAAGTCAACTTTGACCAGAGGAGAGGTCAGCCACGTGTTTTCTGAGGTGTATATCAATGTGCGCTTCTTCCCAGTGTCAGATCTCTGATGAGACATTTCCCGCACGCAGGACACTAAGACACCTCAGGGGTTGTGTGGGGTCTCTGATGTTTGGCAGGACGAGACTTCTGTAAGAAACGTTTGCTGCACTTGGGGTCGGAATACTTTCGTACCATTGTGAGATTTCCGATGAGCGTAAAGATGGCTCACGTGTGAATAACATTTCCCACACTCATTGCAGGAATACGGCTTCTCCCCCGTGTGAGATCTATGATGTATAACGAGATCTGATTTCTGTGAAAAACCTTTCCCACACTCAGTGCAGGAATGGGGCTTCTCACCTGTGTGCAATCTCTGATGTCTGGAAAGATGGTACTTCTGTAAAAAACTTTTCCCGCACTCCGAGCAGGAATACGGCTTCTCCCCCGTGTGAGTTCTCTGATGTCTGGAAAGATGGTACTTTTGTGAAAAACCTTTCCCACACACAGAGCACAAATATGGTTTTTCACCCAAGTGAGATTTTTGGTGTCTGCGTAAATCTGATATTTGGACAAAACATTCTCCACACTCAGAGCAGGAATAAGACTCCTGACACACGTGATATTGTTCATGGACATGAATTGTTGGAAAGACAGCTCCACCCCTCCCAGTCTGAGGTTCCTCAGGATAGGAGGAATACGATGGTCCATCCACACTGTGGGGAACCTGATGGACATTATGGTCTTCTCCTGGACTATGCTGTGTGATATCCTCATCTTCTGGAGACAACGTGAGACGTTCCTCTGAGATCTTCCCGACGTCCCGTCCGTGGACTACAAAGAGAAAAAAAGAGATTATTGGTTGGTTCACCTCACCCAGGACTCCGCCCACATCGGTCAGATTTGTCTCGGAGGATCTCACGTTCCTCCCCTCATTAATTGCCATCTTCCCAACACAAGAAGTTCTACACTTCCTTAATGACTCCGGGTCAGATAGTAAGGATGCGGGGAAGGGACAAACAAGACAGGGACTCACGTTTAAAAAAACTTTTCCCACACATAATGCAGAATTATGGCTTCTCACCTGTGTGCAATCTCTGATGTCTGGAAAGATGGTACTTCTGTAAAAAACTTTTCCCGCACTCCGAGCAGGAATACGGCTTTTCATCTCTGTGAGATTTTTGGTGTTCATCTAAAACTGATTTTTCAACAAAACATTTTCCACACTCAGGACAAGAATATGGCTTCTCTCCAGTGTGAGATATGAAGAATGTTTGTTTCAGTTGGAAACTTTTCCCACACTCAATAGAAGAATATGGCTTCTCCCCTGTGTGGGATCTCTGATGAATGGAAAGAACGGACTTCTGTGAATAACTTTTCCCACATTCCAAACAGGAATATGGCTTCTCCCCTGTGTGAGATCTCTCATGTATGGAAAGACGGGACTTCTGTGAAAAACATTTCCCACACACCGAGCAGGAATACGGCTTCTCCCCTGTGTGAGATCTCTGATGTACGGAAAGACAGAACTTCCATGAAAAGCATTTCCCACACTCAGGGCAAGAATATGGCTTCTCCCCAGTGTGAGTTCTCTGATGCATGTGAAGATGGAACTTGTGTGTAAAACATTTTCCACATTCAGGGCAGGAATACGGTTTCTCTCCTGTGTGGGTTCTCTGATGTCCGATGAGTGTGTTTTTCAAATGGAAACTTTTCCCACACTCGGTACAGGAATACGGCTTCTCCCCGGTGTGAGATCTTTGATGAATGACCAGATTTGATTTTCGCGCAAAACTTTTTCCGCACTCAAGGCAAGAATACGGCTTCTCCCCCGTGTGAGATCTCTCGTGCCTCGAAAGATAGGCCTTCTGTGAAAAACTTTTCCCACACTCAGGGCAAGAATAGGACTTCTGACCCGTGTCAGATTGTTTATGGACCACAAGTGTTGGGAGGAAGGCCCCGCCCCTCCCAGTCTGAGGCTCCTCCGGATAAGAGGAATACGATGATCCATCCACATCGTGGGGCACCTGATGGACATTATGGTCTTCTCCTGGACTATACTGTGTGATGTCCTCATCTTCTGGAGGCCACGTGAGACGTTCCTCTGAGATCTTCCCGATGTCCCGTCCATGGACTACAAATAGAAAGAAAGATTATTGGAGGACATGAGCGGGTTGGTTCACCCCAACCTGAAGAATATATTCGGGGTCACCTGTGCTGATCTGTGTAGGCGTGTCCTCCTCTATGGACGTCCTCATCACTCCGGCCTCCTCCGTATATCGCTGATCATCCCTCACATACGTCTCTTCTACTTCACCCTCAACTTTCATCTTCATCAGATCTTCACCCTAAACCAACAGAACGGCAGAAAGTCTCATCTGTGACATAGAAGTATTTATGATGTGACATCACATAGAAGATCTCATCTTGTAGAGTCCACACGTCATCTCCACATGTCAGAGCGTTCCCTCACTTTATGTTCCCGCCCCTCAACTCCACCCACCTGATCATGGTGGGGGACGGTGAGATCTTCCTGGGTGGGATCCCGGGAATACAGAGGACGGGGACATCTCTCTGGTGGGTTCCT